TTTTTTTTGTGCCTGTGTTTTTATTATTGCGTCCATTTGAAGATAATTATCCCTATCTCCGCGATTACTAAATATTTGAACTTCTATAACCAGCACGTCGTATAAATTATAAGTTTTTCGAATTGAGGAAGTTTGAGAAGATTGATTTAAAAAATTATCGAACTTTTCCTTAAAACAAGTTCTTGCTATCAATGCAGTGTTTTCATTTTTTTTTTTATCCCGGGATCTTCGGAACCTCAAAAACAACGAGATCCCGGGATCCCGAAATGATAATATAAAATTTCGATTTTCATTTTATTTGTCCTGCTTGTTACGTGCTTTTCACAATATATACTGCTTATGTAGGCAGAAATATTTTCGGAAATTTATCTCGCTAGGTGTGGAGATATTTTGAAAAAAAACCGTATTTATGGTCCGATTTGGTTCAAATTTGGCGTACGTAGTTGAAACATAGTTAGTCATAAATTTACGCTGAATTAACGCTGAGGTCAAATAATAAAGTATATTCGACATAAAATTCATGATAAATTAAGAAAAAAGAAATTTTTTTAAATAGTTGCTTACATGTATCTAATAGGAAACTTTTTTCACATCACGCCATGTCACGTAAAGTTTCACACTTTGTGTTGTAAAAGTATATTGAAACAAGTTTATTAATTCAACAAACTCTTAAACTAGAATCACTCCAAATCACAATAAAACATGTTTCATGAAAAGAGTTTTGCGATTTTGTAAGAAAGGAAAAAATCAACTTCCACTTTAGTCATATAACGTCACTCTCATATGTACATATGTATGTATAAATTAAATTTACATACGAGATTTATAAGATATCATATTTCAGCATTTCAAGATAAGCTATCCAAATAATCTATCTAATCTTTTAAAGAAGATAAACAACAAGAAGGAACATCGGCTAACAAATGACGATCAGTGCAGCGTTATTACTGTTTTTTCAGTTAGATTTCATAGCATGATGAGCACCAGTTGGGATCGTGTTCGCCTACGTGTCGAAACAAAAGAGGTGATTATTTCGAATTAATTTTGATTTAAGCTTAATTTCCACCACTCCCCTTTTCATTTAGGGTTTTGAACCGGCTGTCGAAACTAATGTGAGTGCTGATGTACGTACCATATCTGCACATATACTGGACACCACAGTGGGTCAAGCTGCACCAAATGTTAATATTACAATTTATCGCCTAGAAGGTGGCGATGATTGGCAGAAACTGAATGTTGAAACAACGAATCAAGATGGGCGTGTAAATCAATTAGTGAGTGTTTCGCAATACAAAGCGGGCATCTACAAGTTGCATTTCGATGTGGCATCATATAACGCAGAACGTGGAGTTAAAAGTTTTTATCCTTTTATTGAGATTGTCGTACAATGTGAACAGAATCAACATTATCATATTCCGTTACTGTTAAATCCGTTTGGTTACACAACTTATAGGGGTACTTGAATGTTAAGCTGATTAATGAATTACTAAACTAATATTTGAACACACATGGAAATAAATGATGGTTATATATATATATATATAAACGCATAGTGACTCAAACAAATGATAACTTGTTGATTTTTTTTTTTAATATTCGTAGTAGGGCTGTGCGATTAATTGACTACTCAAAATTTTAATTAATCATAAAGTAAACAACTCAGTTATTCGCTTAATTAGAAGTTATGATTACTCAAAAGTTCAGTTACTCGAGTAATCAAGATTTTTGATTAACCAAAAACCAAAATATTCGAGTAATTTGCTTTATGATTAATCAACATTTCGAGTAAAATGAGTAATCAACATTTCATCTCTTTACATATGTATAAAGGAGTTAAAGTGCCTTGATACTTTGAAAACAACGTTTCTGTTTTCAAAAATTAAAACGAAAATTTTTTTTCATATACAGAATGTAAAAAGGAAAATAAGCATTTTCCAAAGCAAACTTTTTTAACGAGCAAAATTATTTTTTTTTTGAGTAATCATATTTCAAGTAACTCGATTAATCATCGTTTTGAGTGATCAAAATCTTGATTACTCGAGTAATTGATTAACCGAATAATTGATTAACCAACTTGCTCGAGTAATCGAATAATAGCACAGCCCTAATTCGTAGCGTTTTTCGAGCTAAACTTTTGTGTTATTTTTCTATAAAAACACCGTCCAAGCTTTGACTAGTAACATACATATAAACCACAGTTTCAAACGTTATCCGAAATTTATGAAAATTCAACAAATTTTCATTGAAATTAAAACTTTTTAAATAACAAGTGCAATTTTCAAAAACTGGCACTGATTTTTTGAAAATTTGTTGCTAACGGTCTAACGCATATACATACATATCGTCACTACACACGAATAAAGGCGCGCTAGTGTTTTGACGGCGTAAAAAGGCGCGTAAAAAAATTTTGCGAAAAAAGATGCTTATGAAAAACTTGGGCGAGGTATGTTAAGAGTCTTTGACGCTGAAGTTTTTTTATGCGTCTTTTTTCGTCGTCAACTTTTGAGCTCGCGCCTTTATTCGCGTCTAGTGACGATATATGGAACAAAAGCGTCATAAAAACATTACAGGGTAAAATCATACACTCAATTCGTCGGCCATGATTTTTTTTACTGACGTTCGCAAGCTTTTTAAAACCATATAAAATTTAAAATAAATAATTAAATTATTCACAATTGTTGTTGTTCGGGATTGAAAATGGGAATGTGTGTGTGAGTTTGAGTTTTAAAATTACATATATTGCTGGAAAACGTCACACTGCCTTCCAATGGTTTTACCTTGTAATGTTTTTATCATGGAAAAAACTGCAAATCGTGCTAAACTTGCAGTTGGACTAAAATTGTATGGGCTATTAAACTGCATACCTCAAAATGTTTTTAAGATTCAGATTAAAAAGTTGAAATTTTGACGAAAATTTATTGCATTTTCTTAAATTTTGTATAAAGTTTGAAACCGTCATTTATATGGTTTTGCCGCCCTTCTTTTGTTTTTGATGTTAGCCTGGAACTTCTGAAACGAGTGTCTAAAAAAAAAAAAAAAAAAAAAATTAGCGCTAAGATACATTCTGGGTTAAACACTAACATTTAGAAAAAAAAACGAATTTAAAAGCTTCACTTCGCACGCTTCCTGTATGTATGACACATCTCCTTGGACCCATTTTAATTATGTAACCTGCAATATCAAATACGATTTTTATTACATTTGCATCCAGTTTTATTTTGTTATAAGCAATAATT